GCTTGAAAAAGATAAAATATAATACTCTTGAAATAAAAAAATTATAAACCTTTAGGAAGTAAAATGCAGTGAAACCAAAATTTAAGGTTAACCTATGGAACAAGCGTATTGTACATTAAACTGAGAAAAACCTACAATTGGGTTTATATCAAAATGAAACAGAAAATGGTTCCTTAGGTTACAGTAACACTTGAAAAATGTAGGCTCTGCATGGTATAACTGTATTACAACAAATTAAGTACTACAACATAGCTGGTAGTTCCTGCTCTATATAAGAATGACACTAACCTTGTACGTGAGGTAATAGTGTTGTTTGGTTTCAAAGTCAAGGCAGCTCCCAGAGCCTGGAGTTGAACACTCAGCAACAGTTATTACACCTGTCTTATTGTTCACAGAAAACCTGCAAATAATGTAACATTATTATTTTGGATCTTAGAGAAATGGGCTGTAACAGTTCAGAATAAGGTTCTTGGTTCCATACCAAGATTGTAAATGTGCACTCCTTGGAGCACAACATTTCAAATGTGTTCTTCATGCCACATTATATGTCACTGTTGACTAACATAATCCAAGGTACCTGCCATATCTCGGGCTTCCCAAGTCTGATACAGGGCATAAAGGGACCATTAGAACAATGAGTTCTAAAATTGATAAATGCAGCTGAGCAGATGAGAACAATTATGGTTCATCTGACTTGCATTCAGGATGTATCAAATCCCTGACTAGAGATGGGAATTATGACTCAGATTCCTCCAGGTCTTCAAGGTCTTTAACAATTGGTCCAGAGAGATACTGGGATAACACCAAACAAACAGGCAACAACCTCTTTCTCTCACATCATTTCAAAATTGAATTGTTCAAACCAACTGTAACTCAAAGATTTCCGTCTTCTGGGTTGTTGCGCTGTGTAGTCTGGTCGATGTTTACCAACGTTTCAGAGGTCATACTGCCTCCATCATCAGGGCGATGAATATTCGCCCTGAATATTTGAATATATGAATGATATTCATCGCCCTGATGATGGAGGCAGTATGACCTCTGAAACGTTGGTAAACATCGACCAGACTACACAGTGCAACAACCCAGAAGACGGAAATCTTCATACTCACTGCTGTGTAAACCTCAAATCTTACAACTGTAACTCCTTTATGGCTATATAACTTCAACAGTTGATAGACGCATAAAATAACGAAATATACAATAGTAATAAATACCAAACTTCTAAACGTTATTTAAAACATAATGGAAACATTAATAAGAAAAACAGAAATGACACTAACTTATCTGCGTCAGTTCCAGAAAGTTGGTAGACAATGCCGTTCTCGCCAAACTGACCACTGTCCCTGTCTGTGGCCATAATTGTTGTCACCAGAGTTCCAGGTGATGCCATTTCTGAAACAGAAGCTGTGTACTGCTGTTGCTGAAATACGGGGACATTGTCGTTAGCATCTGCTATGCTAACAATTACCGTGGCTGTAGAAGACAGACGGGGATTCGTGTTCTTCTCCTCTGCAATGACCTGCACATGAATATCACAACACATTACATAATGACTTCAGTTCCCCTCATGCACTTGCTGAATAATACAAGTTACCAAGTGTTGAAAATCCCTTCTTCCATGAGAGACCACACTGTCCTCGGAAATAAAAAAATATGGCATTAAGCAAGCCCATATTTATGTGCTATTTGCATATAATGAAAATTATGAACGAACCAGGTGAACATCTGTCCATCTGTTCACATGTTTTACCTCCATAACTACTTAACACCATTAAGACATAAAAAGTTATTTGAATGAAGAAGAAGGGAATTCTTTTATGACCGTATGATAAGATGCAAAACAGTAGATATTTGTTTGTAATAAACTTTAATATAAGTAAGTGCCTTATTATTTCTAGTGGAAACACTTTAAATGCTGGGTAATGCCATGTCAAATCTAACAGATAAATTCACTAGTCATAACCTATATAATTTGAAATAAAGGATTTTGGATTTCTACTGCACCCCAAATATCTAAGCACAATCATTTTTTGGCTACTGTCAAACTTAAACAAATGTGAAGCACAGATTTAAGTGTCTTCACCATTTCCATTGCATAAGTGTACTCACAAGTATTATGAATTTCCTCTGATTTGGATTTTCATAATCCAGCGAACCATTGGCCACACGTATACTGACTGAGGTAGATCCTGTCGCACTGGTTGGCTCCACTTCAAACGCTCCTGTCACATCATCAAGCCGCAATGTGAATTCCGAGTTGGTTCCCTATGACAAATGTAGAACTTAACAAGAAATTCTTATATCTACGCACATCCTTTTAATTGTATGGTTAATCTGCATTTACCAATGTTTCAATATTCTAGTGTTTATGATACGACAAGTGAATAAATGATAAACTTGAAATATGTGGGCCATCTTATTTACTGGATCTGTTTCAATGATACACACGCAGTCACGTGCATGCACGCGCACACACACACACACAAATACATAAATATATACACATACCAATTCAGATTATTTGTATGAATGTACAAATAAATAATAGACAAGCTTCGGTGTAAATTAAATATGCAAATTACCCTTCTGATATAATGTGAAAGGAATGTGACTTTGTCTTACTTCAGCGTGGTCCTCTGACAGACAAACACAGATCCTCTAAATGTGGGCTGGTGGTATAAACGTAGAACTACGTATTCTCAACTTACAATGTCGGGATCACGAACCACCATATCGAGGTGAGGCAATGGTGTGCCATCTGGAACATTTTCAGGAATCACAATGCTATACTCGCGATTATTGAAGGTTGGCGCTTCATCATTGACGTCCTTGATCGTGACAGTTCCTTTCTTTGTTGTAACGGTAAGAGGGTCGTTGCCAGGTACTCCATCAACAACTTCATGTGCCTTCAACAAAAAGATTAACTAGTAAGTAAAGGTACGTAATTAAATAAAATATTTCATCTATAACTACGACTGATTCAGTATGCCCTTACAGGCCATAACACAAAGTCAGTACTGAAAAAAACATTCCTACGTTTATCCTAGAAAACAAATAAAAAAATTTGACACAGTATCAACTTCTGCCATCTTTTGACTGCATTTTATACTGTAAAGATTTTGATTTTCAGCAGAAAGCACCAAGTCAGATTAAAACTGATTTTGAAAGTGTTAACATAACAAACAGGACAGTACATATAATACTTACCCTAACAGTAATATTTATGACTCCTGTTGAATCATCTAAGGCTTCTTTATCGAGTGGTTTGGCTGTCCTGAGTTCTCCCGTTTTGGGATCAAGTAAAAAATAGTCCATATAATCTGTAAAAGAAAACAAAGTTTACATGTATTAACAAAATGAATGATAATGAAAGTGGCAATTTAGAATCCATCAATCTATTTACCATCTTACTAAGCAACGTTAAACTTGATTGGGTACTTGTGGGTTACCGGGACACAAAACGGGGGAGTCAAATACCTGGAGTTGAATTGGCACGGAAAACTGTGCAAGCATATCAGTATACCTGTATACTCAGTTGTTGTTATCTCTTAGTTCATTCAGTTATTTATTTCTGTTTGGTACATGTTAAAAATTTGGGATTTACCTAACACTGAGGAAGATTCTGTCTCTTAACTGCAAGATGAAGGAATACTACCGAAAGCGAGGTACTGGCAAATAATGCGTACAAATGATAACCGAGATATTTTTAAAACAATTCGAAAATCTATAAGCGAATTTTGGCCTCCGGAGACAGACAGTAACAACAATTAATATCGCATGCATATCAAAATAAAATATAATAATTTGTCATTTATTGAAATAAAATATAATAACTTTCAAGTATATATTATTTATTCACACACATTAACCTAACCTAACCTATTTTTAAAACTATGTGTCCCGATAACCCACAAGTACCCTTGATTTTATTAATACAAGTATTTAAAAATTGAAATTAGATAAAAAATTTGTATACAACCCCCTATCCCCAGCATCAATTCCCATCAAAATAGTTGGTATGAAATGTACGGATGAAGAACATAGATCAATGTCATTTAATGCACTGCGTGCAAAGAACAAAGTGTACACATAATTACAGATCACTCACTTTCAACAAGTTCATACACAATCTTCCTGGGATGTTCCTTGTCGCCATCATGAGCTTTAATGGTCATTACTGGAGTACCAATGTCAGCATCTTCCCTGACAACGCCCGTCAGCGAACCCTCAAACACCGGCGGGGAATTCTGAACATCCTGAACCTTGATCTGAACCCCAGTGCTACTGTTATGTTCGCCATCCTGCAACCATAACCGATGATGAAGGGATCGTAGATGGCAACCTCACTTTATCAACTGTTGAAGTTATTTAGATTTCAAAGACACAAAAGGATAATTACACTCAGGGAACTTGAGAAAAAACATGTAATATTCAGTCATGATAGCTGACAACCTGGCAAAGACTCAAACCAGGTACTTCATAATACAGTGTTAACCATTACACCAACCTGTCTAAAAAGTTAATATTAGCATCTATCTAAGAAAATAGGTTGTAAAGTTGTATTTTTATTTATTTATTTAATTATGCTGTCAGTAGTTCATACAGTGTGGCATCAAATTATTAATGAATTGGAAAGGATACAAAAAGAATAGCTGGTCACTGGGCCAAGATTTGAGACTAGGCCCTCCTGAACATGAAGCAAGAGTGCCAAATACTAGTCTGTAACATTCTGTATGAAGATGTGAACTAGACTAAACAGACTCTAGTAACGATAAAATTTTAGGTTCCGCAATAGAGTTTTTATTGATTCACTAAATTACTATCAATCCTTCGAGGATTGTTTTGTTGTTAATATTATGGGTGTCGCTGTTAACATCTGAAAAGAAAAATAAAGGGGGGTTGAACAAATATTTATTTGGTGAGTGGCTTGAGGTGTGGCTTTGTATATTCTTAATATCACTTAAGATAATACTAATAAAATATTTCTGCTATGCATATTAATATAAATACTAACAGTGGCACTGAGCAGCAGTTGGTAGAAAGGTTTGACTGAATAGTCCAGTGGCTGCTGCAGAATCAAGGCCCCCAAAAATTTATACTCATTGGAACTAAGTTTCTTGACCTTAAATTTACTGCAAGCATCTGGAAACTGAAACATAACAACACAGCACATAAACATTTTACTATCATGTCTGGTGGTATAGACTATGAAAGAAATGACAAGAGTATTTCATACAAATTTAATAAGACAAAACAGATCTCTGCCCCCAGATAATACATAGGAAAGGAGGTGCTGCCCATTGGATACTATCCTTCATCTCTGCGCCCAATCAAGTGAATCAACTCTCACGCAATTCCCACTGTCAGATCATTTATAAGGGCTTCCTTAACCTCCTCGCAGAGATTTGCCTTGAAGACGGCAACTGCAAAGTTTGCTAAAATGCTGTATGATCTTCAATAATCAATGCAGCTTATTCATAAAACCCAAGGTAATTAACACCCATTCTCTGACCTGTGGGCGATCTATACAGGTGACCTCCAAGATATCTCCTATGATGTCTGGGTCGACAACTTTGATTCCCTGAAAAACAGTGGTGCCAACATGTGTATCTTCAGGAACTTCAATCTCATATGGAACCTACAAAACAAAAATTAGCATAATTAAATTGTGACTTAAAACAAAATTGTAACAAATACACTTTCATGGATACCGCGGTGACTCATCCTGTATTTGGAGGGGACAAAAGGTAATACAGAAATACTCCTGCTATTCTTTGAGAAAAATCTTGGAATGAATAAACCATTGGCGGAAATGTTGTATGAATAACCAGGATTGGAACAAGTCAAAGTAAGGGCCGCCCCAGGCCATGAGAAAGTTAGCCTCCCCTGCCATTTTAGTGAAACGTGCGACACAGTCTAGGGAATCCAGCAGATACTTAGGGAGAAACGCCGAAAGAAACTGCACTTTCAATGATTCCTGTTCTTCGTGTATCTTACAGCATTAACTCCGCTGACTCCACGGTGGGAAAAGTGAGGTTAGTTCATAAGCAGCAGATATGACACAAGCATTATCACTTTCCACTGCAAGCACTAATCAACTCGAGAGCGTATAACCAGGTTTTAATTTTTTTGACAGTTTCCAGAAACAACTGTTGGACCATTTTAATTTTAGTTTAAATCAGAGAATTTTAACCACAACTTTTGAGCTTATCTCAAATACTTATGAAATAATTGAGCAAAAGTATATTCGCTTATTACACAAACATGAAAATTAAGGTGTAGAAATGGATTTAACTCACTGTCATCAACATTCACTTCAGTATTAATTAATTAATCGAATAAAATTGAAAATCATAACAAAAAATGGCGCCATGTGCAGCATAATTCAATTTTCGTCCACCAGTTAGTGAAAGCTTACTTTTTCCACCACGCGATGGCTCTGCCAGCTTTATTTTATAGAAAAGGGAATGCCAATTCTGCCGTTTCATTTACACCGTCGTATACCATGTTTACACGTCCGTGACTGCCAATTAATGGTAACGAGAGGCACAAAAGAGCGGCAGAAATTAATTTTAATTTAAAAAAACAATGAAACGGTGAAACATGCTGCCTCAGGCTACCGCTTGTGTCGACTGTGCTGTCGCAACGGTCATGCCAATAGTTTTAAGTTATTATGATTCTAAATTTCCAGTAGAGTCCACGACTGTAATCTTGAGACTTGCGGGGTGAGGAAGTGGGATGAAGGAGGAAAGGTAGCGTCTGCCTTTAACGCTACGGACTTACTGCATTCCTTGCAAGTCTCAATATTACAGTCGTGGACTGTACACTCAAATATTTTGAATTAAAGATAAAAATACTCACGTCTTTAAATACTGGAGCATTATCATTTTCATCCAGAATGATTGCAGTGACAGGAATTTGCACTAGGTTGTTTGAAAGGCCTTCGCCCACTTCATCTTCTAAGGTTACAACGAACTTCAGCGTGTCATTAACCTGGAAGTAACATAAGTAAATAATTACATTAATTAAAGACTGTAGCAGTAAACAATTAGAAAAGAGCTCGTTTGTACAGAAACTCTTTGGACAGGCAATAAATAATAGCAGGCCCCGCCAGCTGTTAAGAAATTCAATTCGAGAAGATCCTTTATTGTCTTCACAAGTGACAGTCAATTCAATTCACTTAATTTGAAATTAACCTTTCCTCTACACCGTGTTTTCTGACAATATGAAACTGTGGTAAATACATTTTAAAATGAGCTTCGTTGCTTATCTAGTAACGCCGTATTGACATAAAGAGACTGCAATGAACTTAACAGTTCTGGGCCTTCCTTGAAACATTTACGTGATGGAGTCTGCATTATAACAACAGGTTATTTTAACATACTGTGCGGTTTTTCATTTCCATACTTTAAAAACCCACTACTCTCTACCTGCAAAATTCTATATCTCCAAGATTAAGACAAAGAATGTTATGAAATAAACAAAAGATTTCAGTCTTGTCGAAAAGAAGTGACGAAAGATTCACATACTAACAGGAAAGAATAAAATGGAAGGTTCTGGGAACAGACTGGCCTCGGACACTCCTAGAACACAAGGAGAAAGGGTCTCGGACTAGTGTCATCTCCCAAGTCGGCGATAAAAACGAGATAACACGAACAGTGGCGGACGATGGAATTCACAATTTATTCTGCAAACAAACACGGGATTAAAATGCCTTAGCAAATAGAAGGATAAAAGTTAAACTTTTCGTCTTACAGAACATAACAGAGTATTCTATAATTGATACAAATGCTTTATTTTAAAAATGAATAATAACAAATTCTAATAACTTCAATTTCAAGTGAAAGAAGTTGGAAACTGTCCATTGATTCAATGAATAAAACATTATTAATGTTATTTCTCCTCCATTAAAAATGTGTTCCATTGTAGATGATAAACGCCACTTTAGAGGCGAAAATTTTTAAGATAATATTACAAATTATTTTAGGAAGACATGTTGTAATAGTATGAACTGGTAAGAATCGATTCTGTAGAGGACCCAATCGAGATATTTGTGGTCACGTAATGGGCCTTCTGATCCCATAACAATACTAGATTTATTGAAGAATTGAAGATACCGAGTAGGTTATTACAGGAAGCCCCTCCTATATCCCAACGAAGGCGAATGGTTAAATGGTGAGAAATTGAATTATTCATTTAACAGAATGTGTTGCTATGCGACTTTACCATTCCTTTCGTTAGCCATATACACCAGCAACCTCACAGGCTAACCAACCACTGGACTTTGTCGGAATATAATAGGGATACTGATCGATATGATATTTCATATCGATATCGGAGGTGGTTATATCAACATCGAATCGTCATATCAGATTAGAAAAATGTAATTGCCCAAGCACCTAGAATCTTAAATACCATATTTTGTCACTGTTTATATTAAAAATTGAAGGTCCACAAATTTACATTCCAGTGTAACGTTCCACTACTAATTAAAATGTTTTCTTCCGTTACTGGTGATACGATTAGGTGATATTTCACGACCGGGTTCAGGTTCAAATTTTTAGTGTAGCGAGTGATATATCGATACGCTAAATTAATATCGATATAAAATATCTTTGTGCGATATCATATTGATTTACAGATATTAAATGACGTCCCTACAATATACATACAATTTCTGATATCCCACTGATTGAAACATGATATGGCTTGCTGGCGAATTGCTGTAACCACCTTAACAAAAGCAATTTTCATATCGTCCAGAGTATAAAAATCTGCTGCTAATTATCAATACATTTCACACAAAATAAAACGAACTGTCCCCCCCTGCTACGAATATAATGATGGAAAACTGTCAGTTTCTTCTGTATTTATTTATGTTTTAGTCGACAAATCCAAGCGCTGGCTGCTGTTTATAAAGAACAACACGAACGCTTCCTTAGAAAACCAAGTATCAAGTTCTGGAATACTGAAGCATACCCTGGAGGGATGAAGGTAGAATGACCAGCATTGTAGTTCAGCTTCGCCATCACCTGCGACTAACTGCGACTCAAGAAAATGGCTGATTTAAAGCAGAAAATTGGCATACGACAAACAGGTTTATTGCTTTGACTGTGACATCCCGTTTTGAGATCGCGAGCACTTTTATGTGGGAAAATTCGGCAAGTGTAGTAGCAGTTCACAAAGCATCGTCAAATAAAATAAGAAACATGCAAGAATACAGTTTCTATCTATTGTGACACATAAGAAATCCCTTTCTTAAGGTTACATAGTACTAGTACAACTAGCTATGGTCTGGGCTGGCGGCAAGGGACCTGTATTGACAAGTGCTCCACGGTTCGCAGAGCAAATATTAGTCAACGTGACAGCAAGCGCAGGTCTGATTCTCACGAACATGCTGACACAGCTCTGGCTGCTGGCAAGTGTTTGATATGCCGAGTCCATACATCACTGTTACGAGCAAGGCAAACAGCGTGATATAAGGTCTTCTAAAACACACCGCCAGCACCAAAGATAACAAGATATTCTGGTAAGAACTCAAATTTTCTTCTCTTTAAATCTATCGTTCCAGAACTGTGGTTCGTGAACCTACTACGTTTGTACACAGCGAAAGAAACTGTCTCTTCCCTGTTCATTACGTCCCTCTGTCCGCTATGCCGTATAGGTCACTAGTTAGTCGTCGGCCCCTTTCAGATCCCTCCTTAGGAGGTGGCCCTTTTCAGAGCCTGCTATATAAATCCCCCTTCCAGTCGTCTTCCCTTTTGCTTTGCCCTTTACATCTTCTCCAATTATATATATATATATATATATATATCTCCCCATCTTGACTCATCCTAAAGATGGACGCCATACGTCCTCCTGGAACACTGCACGGCGCCACAACGCAGAAGACAACAGACTTTTTCACCTACGTGAAAATCTCGTACCAACCCAGGAACTGCGAAGGTGAAGTGACGTAAGGTTTATGACAAAGAAACTGCTGGAATATGGAGATGGCACGACGAAAACACGTCAATTTCTTTAAGACTGGGGTGGGCAGAAGCGCCCGGACGTTTTCATACCTAATACCATGTCATCGAATATAAAACAAGGTTTGCGCAGATCTGATGGAGGAGGAATAGTCAGCCTTCCGAAACGTCCAGTATATTTATGCAGACAATAAACAATGCCTAAAATAAATCCGCCCATAAAATTGTACATTTGATAAATTAAAAACTGTTTTTTTTTCGGATTCAAAATATAAACATAATTTGGATTCCTTTGAGGAGAGACAACACAATACGCCTACTTGCACAGAACAGCACACCAACAAAAACGCAGATACTTGCCCTCAATGGGATATGAACCCACAGTCCTACTAACCGAGGGATCCCAGAACGTAAGCGTCTCAAAACGCAGTCACTAGGACTGGCATTAGGCCCATCACTGTAATATAGTTTCGCACTCTTCAGACAGCGATAAATCGCACAGAGTACTTACAAATGCAAGTGCCTACTTGATAGCACTTCGCTGATTTGAAGTCAGCCCTACATAGAATATGAACTATGCCTAGTTATAGGCCGTTCACCAATGAAGGTAGACTACCAATTTGTCACCTCGAAATAATAATAATAAGTGTATTACCATAATCTCTAAAAATATTAAAATTAAGATATTTCATTTACTTATATCCGGACGTCTGTGACAATTTCCCACAAAGCAAACACTGAAAAAAGTGTATAATCTTAAACAGCATATTCTCAAAAAGGTTGGTTTTGATCTCTTTACCTCCAAGTACGCATTTAATAATTTTTACTTTCACTCGTCACGAACCCAAACCGAAAAACAAAATTGAAAATAAATGACTTGAGAATTTCGGCTCGCAAAATCAACACGCGTGTGGCGAATGAATGAGCGATCGATTCAGCATTACTGAACCACCCATTAGTCTGTACACTGAACTGAGAGGAAGTTCAGATATCTGATGGTACCTACGCACGCTTTGTGTATCTTCGTGTGTTGCTGGGTCGTCCCTGAAGTTCCAAGAAACGCAACAATACCAATCAAGTAGAAAGCCGATGTTCACCGTACGGTCCAGTTCACAAGTGCCAGAGCGCCGCCAAGCTTCTCCTCTGTTCAACCCATGTCAAAATGCAAGAGTAACATTTTTGTACAGAACGGGTATAAACGTGTTCAACACATCTGCTGCGACATAAGACATAAAGAAGTTCTCAATGAGCTGACATTTGTAACAACGGACGAGTCATCTTATCAACGCCATGAAGAAAACCAACCTCCAATAGCATCTGCTGGGAATGGATCCCCACGCATTCTACATTACAGTGACCGACGGAAGGCGGGTGGTGTGCAGACAGACAGAGAGAGATAAATACAAATTTCGACATTGTCCTCCCTAACAATTCTTTGCACACTTTCAGTGTCCACATCGCACGTCTGTTTCACGTTTGAAGTAACAGAATACTTTATACACCAACTACCCGAGCGAGCGTAAAGAAAGTGACTGAAGCTGATTGGCTTATGAGGGCACGTGCGCAGAAGTGTTCAAAACTCAGCCGATCGGGTCGCTTTATTGACGGTGCCCATTAAATAGGAGGATAAAAGGGTCGTAGAACAGGTACGAGGAGAAAAAAGTCCTTCCGGAAAATCGAATACTGTTCTCACAACCATCTCTGCTAATACGAAGAAGGTACTGTTAAAAAAGGGAAGAAATAGACGTAATAATGTTGGCGACACTGTTATGCGCATTTAATAGTCTCGTAACGAGAAAGCATCAGGTTCCCTTAGTAATTTGTCCGTATCTCAAAAGACCATGCTATCTCTCAGGAGGTTGGTTAATCACCAACTGCTCACAGCGAAGGCCCCGTCAGTCCATGTGGTTTCGTGGCGGTAAACGGTTCTCTTCCCTTGTCTGTATAGTTTCACCTTAGCTTAAAATTCACTCATACATCTGCGGGGTGGACAAAGAACTCGTTAGAAGCTCAGATCCACAGAGG